GAATGCACTGCTTGTCTAAATCATGGCATGATCATATATTTGTTTCATGAGTAATTAACATAAAAATCGAAAGAAATGTTATGAAATGTTTTTGTTTCTGCCCCATCAAATATTGATTATGGTAGCATATAATTATACACAAAATTTGATTTCCAATTGCATCTTGTGAATGTAAAGAAACTTTTTATCTTTCTCCAATCAAATATTGACTATGGTTGCATATAATTATATACAAATATGAATCAGTCTAACGACTACTCGGGTCGATTCATCAAAACTTTCTACCGATTTATGAAATCAATTCGTTTATGTGCATTAACCTTAAAAATTTATGCTTGTTTATGAAATAATTCATTTCCCACTTAAAATCTAACTCAACGTTAACTCAATCCTACTATCATTTATATTATTTATATAATTAAATATTATAAATCAATCGTTCTTACATATCACATCAACTTTAATTCATTATTCATCACACACATTAATTTAACTACCTATCATTTCCAATCATTTATATCCTACTTTTACATCAAATCATTAATAATTATTTTATTTTAAATATTATTTTAATATATTATTAAAATCCCACTAACAATTAACCATACTACCTTTTTTAAAATTAACTCAAGTTAACTAAAATAACTAATTTTGAATGAAATATTTCATAAAAAAGCTAGTATTTTTAATTCAGTGTGCTTTTTTCTAATGATTTTGTATTAAAAATTATTTTATATATTTATAGTAACTCCGTAAAAGTATATCAATATATTTTATACAATTCGTCATGATAGAAACAAGTATCAAATGTTATATGTTGTAATTAAGGAAAAAAAATCTCTATTCAAAGTTGACATATTTTATAATATATTTGATAACTACGTTCAATTATAATTTTACTATAAATTATAATTTTATCTCTCTTTACTAATAATTGTAATTATAGTTTTATTAATATAAATATATCAAATATAAAAGATATCTTAAGCATTAATCAACATTCATTTAGTTGGCAATATGTCTTCGCATTTAATTTTTTTAATGTTATTCATTGTTCTATTATAGAGTAGTTTTTTCATTATATTTCGGTTTATAAGATTCTTTTTCTTTTTTAAAAATTGACTTTTTTGATAAAAGTTTTTTTTAAACGTTACTTTAATGAAAGACACATTTTAACTAAACTATGTAGTGCATAATTTATAGATTTATAGTATAATAAAAATAAAAATAAAAATTGATATTAATGCTTACTGTGTTCAAATATTTTACTTATATCAATTAAATATAAATATTAATAAGAATAATAAAAGTAAATAATAATATAATTTTTATATTTTAATAATTGCTATTATTTTCATAAATTCATGTGCAAAATACGTATTTTGTTTTCTTTCATATTATATCATGTGTTTTTTATTTATTAGTTTTTTTTTTCTTATCTATCATA